GCCACAGCTGAACGACAGGGAGAAACCGAAGAATCTAGCCATTGGGATTCCCCAGAATCCGGGTCTTGGTGATTTAAGAAACCTAAAGGATTATTTGTAGTTTTGCTTTATGCTGTGTCACTCCATTTTCTGTTACGTAATCAAACACCACACACTGGATGATTTATAGAGGACAGAGGTTTGTGTAGCTCAAGGTTCAGGAGGTGAGGAAGGGCAGGCTGTGGTGCATGGGAGGGTCTTGGTGCATGTCAGCCTGGCGAGAGTGTCACAGAGAGAGACAGAACAAGCTTGGGTCCCTCTCCACTTCCTGATTTTTGAAGACTGGATCTCGCTAGATTGGTCTTGAACTTACATGTTCAAGTGATCCTTCTGCCTGTGCCTCCCCAGTAGTTGGGACTACAGGTGTATGCTGCTGCCCCGACTCCTCCCTCCCTCCCTCTCTCTCTCCCTTTCTTTCTTCTATCTTTCATATCCGGGATTAAGTCCAGGGGTGATCTACTACTAAGCTACATCCCCCAAATTTATTTTGAGACAGATTCTCACTAATTTCCCATACTGGCCTCCAACTTGTGATCCTCCTGCCTCAGCCTCCCAGGTACTTAGAATTATAGGCAGGTGCCACTGCACCTAGCTTATTTCCTGGTTTTCATATAGAAAAGAAGCTGGGTGTGATGGCAGCACCTGTAGTCCCTGCTACCTAGGAGGAAGGCTAAGGCAGGAGGATCATTTGAGGCCCAGAAGTTTGAAACCAGCCTGGGCAATATAGTGAGGCCCATCTCAAAAATCAAAAAAAAAAAAAAAATTAAAAAGACAAAAGAGGAGTGCTGCTTTCCTGGCTTGGTTATGGTGGTGGTAGTGGGGAACGCCAGAAATTCTGTCCCAGGTGTCCCTTCTGCCTGGACTCTCCAGGGTTGAGACAGTTGAAAGGCCTGTCATTTTCTTGTCCCTTTGCCGGACCTGTTAGAGAAGTGGGCACCATCATCCCACACAGCTGCCCAGCCCACCCAAGGGGACTCTACAGCATGGAAGCCGCCACAAAAACAAAGCAGAATTCACCGGAGCAGCAGGGGACAGGCCCCAGGGAGTTTCTTTTCTGCTGCTTTTCCCCATCCGCTCTGCTGCCTGGTGTTCAGTGCTGTTGCCACACGGTGGCGCCACATCAGCCGAGAACAGAAATGCAGAACTGTCCCCATTTCTTGCAGGGTGTCCTGTTTATGTGCGTCAGAAACTCTGCCCTGCATTTTGGTGACTTTCGTAATGCTATTTTAGAATTCAGTTATAATTTAAGATAATTTTTAAATGCCACGATATTATCCACCCCTTCATTGAGAGGTGGCACGGCTCCAGGGCTGAATAGCAGGCCTTGAAGTCAGTAACTTGGTGTGGAGTCAGTGTGACACAGCATGACACGTGTGGTCCACGTGATAAAAGCCAGGTGGCTGCCTTGATGAGGCCCAGCTGTCAGTTTTGGGGTGACCCCCTCTTGAGTTCAGACACTAAGCTGAGAAGGCAGACAGCAGGCACATGTGCCACCTAGTTGTGGTTGTGGGTTGTGTGTGGAGGGAGCCCTCCTCCTGCTGTGTGTTTATTCTGTGGGGATTAGTCTTGCTCTATAGGGAATTTTGAGTTAATGAGGCTAAGAACCAAGCTGTGCCTACAGTGCATAACCCTGAAGGCCAGGCCTTCACATCAGATTTGCAGTGTGAAGACAACACATGTGTGGAGATGCAGCTGGCATTTCTGTATGACTCAGCCTCTTCCCTTTCCCAAACACCCCTGTCTCTGAGCCCACTTTGTCCTTTCATTTTCACACAGTCTTTGCTCATCCCTGTCTCCTTTGGTCCTCCTTATGGTCTCTCCCACATATTAGTCTTTATATATATAGTCTCCCACATATATAGTTTTCTGGTACTATAATAGAATACCTGAGGTTAGATATTTTATAAAGAAAAATGGTTTACTTGGCTCATGGTTCTAGATTTTGCCCTATGTTTTCTTCTAAGAGTTTTATACTTTTAGGTCTTAAAATTAGGTCTTGATCCAATTTGAGTTAATTTTTTGTATATGGTATTAAGGAAGGGTCCAACTTCATTCCTTTGCATGTGGCTATCCAGTTGTCCTAGCAGTGTTTGTTAAA